GAAGCAGCAACAAAGAAACTGATTTTGAAGAACAGAATTTACACACTGCTAGACTTGGCAAGAAAAGGGTGTTGCCATAATACTCTCTAATCTTTGGCAAGTAAGGTCTATGTGCCTTTTACTTTTAGAATGCACGCACACCTGGCAACAGGATTAAGTCACTGCAGTATGTGTTCTTATGCCCATTTAACAGAGGAGAACATTAAGCCCTGGACAACTTAAGAGATATGCACTGGGTGCACAGCAAACTAAGAAAAAGCCAGGTCTACAGTCATATCCAAATGGGCTTAAGTTTGTGACATGCCCCCCCACAAATGGGCCATAGATCACCTTTTGAAATAGATGTTAAGTCACAGGGACACTGGTTTGAAGGACTCCTTTAGGATTCGTGACAGCTTTGAGAGCTCAGGCCCCAGGAGAGGCAGCGGAAGCAGAAGCCCATTGGGGAGGTGGCGGGTGGGGGCTCACCAGTCTAGACGGGCAGCAACACCAGTGACCCAAATGCCACTGCAGCAAGCATCAAAGGCCCATTAACTCAACCACACACAGCCAAATGTGGACCCAACCTTGAAAACACTTTCAGTGCCCAGGCCTGGAGAATTCCCATTTGTCCTGCTGACTTAAGCCCAGTTACTCCTAGTGTCACCCACCCTGTGCTTCCTGATCCTGCTCCCTCCACACAAGGCCCAGAGGACACGGGATCTGCCTGGAGCCCTCCTTCCCTATCACACGGTCCTCACCAAACCCAAGCCAGGGAGGTGAGGAGCACCCATGGGACTGCCTTAGATCCATGGCTCTGCTCCGCAGAGTCCCAGGAAGGAGGGACTATAAACTTTCACGATAATTCAGGTGGATTCCAAACTCAGAGGGACTGGCTAGAGATGCCACACAACAGGCTGACACAGAATAAAGATGTCAGGGAAACCTACCATTGCCACTGCCACCTAGGCCTTTCTCCTCTCCGAAAGGACAACAGGAGGCAAGGCATTAATGCAGAGGAGCTCACCCGAGGAGATGAAGAACCTAGTGGGAGCACCTCGTGGGAGCACCTAGCTGCATCTGGTGGCAGCACCCCCTGTGTGAGAATCCAAGAGAAGGGGCACCTTTAGTGCCCTTCAAAGCTGCAGTCTCAACTCAGCTTCTAGACCAGAAAACACCCCAGCCAGGGAATGAAGAGTCTTGATAACATTTGATAACTTTACAAAGAGCTTTCACATACACTATCTCCTTTGAGGCTCAGAAAAAAAAAAAAAGCCAGAAAGCAAGAATTATTTAATTCATTCTTTAGATGCAGCTGGGCACAGGGGAACTTGACCTTGTGACGTGCCAACTCTGTGCCAGCCACAAGTGTCAGGATGCTACGTTAATAAGTACATGCATCAATTACTGCTTTCTGCTGCTTTAGGGGGCAAGTAGCTAGAGGAGTCATTCACAGAATAACAAAAAATGTACTCCCACATCCCTAGAAAGAGCACACATGTTTTCTGACAAGATCTGTGCTCCCCACCCTAAGGGGGAGTTAACTGGATTTTTCTTTCTGGGAAAAGGAAGGGGGCATGGTTAGGCAGGGATGGGCCTTTGTTTCAAAAACTGAGGCTGGGAGACCAGAGAGAGAGGGAGGAAGGACACGCAGCTTTCAGGGGAGGATCCCTGAGATGGGTCCCAAGAGAGGTGGGGTGACTGAGGCCCTGGGGTGGCTGGCAGCCCTCACTCCACTGGAGCTCAGCGCCTGAGTGCTGTCGGGTCCTAGAGATGCCAGCCTGGGGGCCTAGCTTTCCCTAGGCAGGGCTGGCACTGGGGCACAAGCTGCCTGTGGGGACCTGCCTCCTCCAGAGGGCCACATAGATCTGGAAAGGACGGGCCAGAGGCTGTTGTCACCACCAGGGGCTGAGGTCCAGGCCTCACCCCTCCCCATTTTCCCTGATCCGCAAGCACCACCTCCCCCATTCTCATGGCGTGGAAGGGTGCAGACTGAACTATAGAAATGCCTGCTAGGAAACTTTTGCCAGACTTAGACAGTAGGGGTGCTCAAATTTGTTTTCATTTGATTTAGGAAAATAAAAAGAATTATTTCTTGACTTGGAGTGTCACAGAGCAATTCTTCATTATTGTATTTAGTCCTCATAGTTACCCAGCAAGACAGAAATTATTAGTTCCACTTTCAATGGTGCTTCTGAGGCTCAGAAGCTTCAGGAACTGCCTGAACTGCCCCCCACACGTAGCAGAGACCTGGTTCTCTTCAGTTGGAGAGAACCAGAGCCAGAGCTGGTTCCAGAGAACACAAGTTACCATCTAGAACAAATGATTCGAGTCATCTCTTATTATTCAAGCAAACCTCCCCTGGGATTCATTATAGATGTTTCATAACAAGGGAACAGAATAGTAAATCCTGTTGTCTAGCTCAGGATACCCCTGGCCCCTGGGTGCTCCTTGGTGAGAAATTCTAAATTCTAGACCTGCGCTATCCAATACAGCAGCCACGGGCCACATGTGGCTATTGGGCACTTGAAGTGAGGCCGGTCCAAGCTGAGATGTGCTGGAGTGTAAAATACACTCTGGACTTCAAAGACTTTGTAGGAAAAAAACGAATGTAAAATATCTCATTCATAATTTTTATACTGATTACATGTTGAAATAATATTTTAGACATATTGAGTTATTAATAAATGAAATACATTATTAAAATTAATTTCACTTGCTTATTTTTACTTCTTTTAATGTGGCTACTAGCAAATTTAAAGTGACACGTGTGACTTGCATCGGGGCCACCCCACTCCAGATCACAAATCTCGCCTTGGCTTGTGCACACCCCTCACCCTGCCCCCGCTCCCAAGAACTGCCGGAAGCCAAGGAGTCCAGACTCCCCAAGCATCCCGGGAATGTCCTCTCTTCTCAACACTTCTCTACATTCCTGGACCGACACCTCCTGCCTCCCACCCTCTGCGCCCAGCGCCCAGCGACTGCCAAAGCTCTCAAGTGTAGTCACCATTCCCCAGTGCTAGGAAAGCCCTGAAACCCCATTTTCCGTGGCCAGAGGAACTCTGACAACCAACGGCCTCCAACCCTGTTGGTGACTGGAGCCCTGGGTTTTAGAAAACATTTCCCCAGGCTTCCCCGCTCCGCACCAGACTGTGAGCTCCTCCAAGAGCAGAATAATGGAAGCAAACTAAGTGTATTGATCACTGATTATGGGGCCAACTGCTGTGCTAAGTGTTTTACATGTTTGGTTTTATTTGATTCTCCCCACTAGCCTATGAGTGAGAGAGTATTGTCCCCATTTTGGAGACAGGAACCTGAAGCTCCCAGAGGCCCGGGCCTGGCTCGGTGCCCCAGACTCCCTCCCCTGGGGGCAGAGCACCGCTCATTCTCTTTGCATGTCTGGCACCAAGCTCAGTGCCCACTGCACAAAGGTATCTGGCAAATATTGCTAAAATAGGCAAAGAACCATCTCACAGACCCAGTCCTTGGTCCTTCCTGGCCTTGGTCAGGAGGCATGTTGCCAATTACTCTTCTAGGGCCACATACTTGATGAAAGTCCTCACCCACCCACCTGCAGGGAATGACTTTTTCTGCCCCCACCCACCCTGCTCCCATCACCTCCCACCATGACACCCCTAAGGTCAGCCCTGCCCAGGTCCCCAGCTGAGCCTGAGATGTACGGACCACCTGCCCTGCTGAGGGTGGGCACTGGGGACAGCCCAGGCCGGTCCCTCAGGGTCTTATTTAGCCCTGGGCACCTGTGGAGCTGCCAGGCATAGCCAGTCCTTTACTGTCCCATGCCGGGGTCCTTGGAGTTCAAGTCTCCATCCGGTTCCTCATATAGACAGGAGTCCAGGCCTGGGCGCAGCTGGTGCCTGTGTCTGACCCAAGCCCCAGAGCTGGGCTCAGCTTTCTGGATTCCTTCTTCGACTTACTCTTTCTTCCTGATTTAGAACTAGGCCACCCAGAAGTCCTCATGCTCTTCCCCTCCCCATCCCTCCGCTTTGACCCTGGGGACCCTGACACTGGCCTGCACTGGAATGAAATTTGCCACACCCTCTTGGGCCTCCTGCCTCAGTCCACTGGCCCTTCTGCTCGTGCCCTGGTCAGTTTCCCAAGGCCCCAAGCTATTTTTGCTTCCACCGCAGCCTGCCATTTTCCCCACGGTGGAAGCTGCCAGGGTGGCACCCTGTACGACACACACAGCAAAGACTCAAACAACAGGACGAGGCCCTGCCTTGGATCAGAGCTCACCTTTGGGGTCCCCAGCCCTGCTGGCCCTCGGTCTTCCTAGTCTCGAGGCCCTGCCTTCCAGGCCCTAGAAACATGCTCGATGCCTCCTGCCTTGGCTGACTTCCCTAGATCAACTGCTAGACCCACGGTGTCTGTGAGGCACCCCCTTCTGTCCTCTCCAGACCCTTACTGAGGACCTCCCCAGCCACCTTTGATCACCTGCTACTTGCCCTGGCACCCTTGAAAGATGGGGAGCCACAAAGCTCTCTTTCTTTTTTTTCCCAAGAAACACCGACCCATCACGACACGCTGGCACTGGAAATAACTGAACCAAGCCTGCAGGGTTCCAAACCAGTGCAGTCTGCAGGTCCTTCCCGCACACACCGTAGAAACACGACAGAGCCCCTTCGCCCCTCGCTGCCTCTGTTTCTCCACTGGCATGAACTGCCTGCTGCCCAAGGAAGCTGGCAGGGCATAATGACTTCCTGATTTGTTACTCCGAGTTCCTCAAATAAGACACGCTACATCCATAAAGGCATCGGGCCTTCCCATAAGGCATAGGAAGTGAACCCATCTGGCGCTAAATCTTCCGGTGCTTGGCTCCCGAGAGCACATGGGGCAGAAACTAATAACCATAAAGCATCCATCTATCATCCGATCAGGCCTCGCTCTGCTTTGTTTGCATAGTTATCTTCCCACGGGCTGACACTTCGTGTCTACTACAGGCTGATGTATTCTCCTACATGCCGTATCCGTCACAAAGGATAGATGGGCCCCGGGTCCGTTACCTGTCATTACACCGTGTACATGTCGCCGGGGGCCAAAGCATCGATTCTTCTCGACTCTCCCCGGTGGCACGGCCCCCACGCGGAGGCTGCGGGTCCAACCGGCTGGGGATCGTGCCCCTCCTCAGGCCCTGGGCAGGCTCCACGCCATGCCTTCTTGCCTTCCGGCTCACCCACTCCTCCAGGGCGAGAAGGGCTTCCGAGCACCCAGCTGCTTCTCAGGGATCTGCGGGAAGAACAGAGGCCTCCATCACCCACCAGGGCCAGAGACACATGTCCAGGTTTTGACTGTTCTTGAATGTTCTAGCCACCCTCTTTTTGTTCTTTATTATCAGGTCCTGCGACTCCTGGTAACTGCACCAACTCAGTCTCACCCACGGTTTTCGCTGGCAATGTCCTGCCCACCAACCCTGCCCCCGGCCTCAACACACACACACACGCACACGCACGCACATACGTGTACGCACGTACACACACACCCTTCATTCCAGTATTCTTACCTCTGCATATTTCATTTTATCTGCCTGAAAGATGCACCTTCCAATCCTGTATCCGACTCCTAGCCATCACTCAGAGCTAGCTCGGATCCACCAACAGGACCCCTGAGCTGCTCCATCGCCCCAGGAAAGAGGAAAACATGGATGCTCTCACTCCACCAATGGGGTACACAAAGAGCAAGGCCACATCACTGTGGAACATCCCCCACTGCTCCAGCCCCCCCTGATGGGGGCTGCAGGAACAACACCTCCTCTGTGGCTGATGATGAACATCTCTCCGCAGCCCTGCATCTCAGAGTGAGGGACAGGAGTAGAGATGCCAACCCACCTGGCCTCATGGAGCCCCTACATTTCACAGCCAAGACCAGGGCCCCCACTCTGCTGGGAGGGGCTGAAGTAGCCCTGCGCCTCCAACCAGGCGTGGTCTCCAGCTCCTGAGGTGGATGGGCCGGCTCCCACTGCCCCCCACTGGGTTTGACCCTGAGCTCCACCCCACCTTGGGCTCCTCTGGGCCCCAGTGGACCTACTGCTGAGAAGGGGCTGTGGCAGATGGAAAGCATCCACCTGGGCACCCGGCACTGCAGGCAAGAGGAAGCCCCAGGGACAGGAGTGAGGGTGACAAAGGAAGGGAGGGACACAGAGGCTCCTTCCTTCTGGCCTGCATGGAATTTGTGAGCGTGATGATGACAATGTCTTACATGCCACATATATAATGATTTATACCCTTCAAGCTGCTCTTGCATCCCTTGGATCCATTTGGTCTCTCAGTAGCTCTATGAAGGAGAGTTTCAAAAATGAGGAAACAGAAGCACAGAGAGGTTGCAATGCTTGCTAAAGATCACATAGTAAGTTAGTGAAAGGGTCAAGACTGTAATTCCTGATTCCCAATTATCATTTTTTCCAGCAAGCTCCCTGGCCCTAGGATAATTTCATCTTCCTTCCAAGTTCCCCCAGGAGCGGGGGATGAGTGGTGGAGATGGGAAAGGGGAGGGAACAGTGGCCGGCTTGCCCCCACTGTGGGAGGATGGGCAGAAAAGGAGCACAATCAGGCCTTTGGTTGCTTCCCTGATAGGAGGGTCTAGGAGGAGAAAGCTCAGAGGACAGAGTGATAAATAGGGAAGACAGGAATGTGGAGGCTCCTAGTAGTTAACGGGAGCAGCTCAGGCACAAAGGACATTGGCTGTGATAAACAGCCCCAGCTCCAGGGAGGCTGGGCTGACCTTGAGCCTCCCGGCCACCTGGCCCTCTACTGCTCAGGCCTCCCAGGCACTTCTGTGCAAGGCAACTCCAGAGGTAGACACCCCTTTGAAAGAGCAAGCAATTATTATTATTACCTTCAAAAGGCGCATATACATTTCACATACTCTTTTATATATGTGATATGTTCTTAAGTAATAAAAATAAAAAAACCCACAAAAGTCTGCCCATATGAGGAAAGATCTCAAACGCCCCTGAACAATGGGATTTTCTGCTGGGTTCCAGAGCAGCTCTGCTTCTGCGGACATGGAGGAACTCGTAACCCAGGACACTTCTGCCTGGCAAGGAAAGGCAGGACCCACATCCTTCTGGAATAAGCAGCACAGGCCAAAGGCCAGGAAACCCAGGGCAGGTGGCAAATGAATGGAGTTGGCAGAACAATGACCCAAAACATCAATGGCAGCCACATAGCTCAGTGCCGCCCCACACGCCCACCTCCAGTCCACAGAGGACCGGACCTCCGAGTGACGGGCTGGGGAGGAACAGAAAATCCGCCCCATGGCATCAGCGCTCTCTGTTGGGTTCTGGTTCAACCTGGGATCTTTTAGCAAGCCCTACTGTGTGCACTACATGCCATGGGGGAGGGAAGGAAACTGTACCCTTCAGGAGCCAGCCGCCATCCCACCCACTGGCTGCTCGGCCACCCAGCTGTTGTGGCCCCGCAAACAAACAGCGAGAGCATGTGCCTTTCTGTCGGGGTGGGAGGGTGGGGACAGGAGTTCCCCCAGGCTCTCCTGCAAGGTGGGGCTGAAACATATTCACAGCAGATGGTGCTGTCGCCCTCACTCCGGGATGCTCATTCCTAATTATCTGTGCTGTCAACAAAACAATTAACTCTCGAAGAAAAATTGCACCGTCCACTCCCAACCATATGAAAAGGCAATTTTTCCCAAGGACGAGGGACACTGAGGGCGGCCCTGCGCACAGTTCCAGATCTCGCCACCCATCCTCTAAGCTCGTGCTCTGCCGCAGGCATCGCGGCAGCCCCCTCTCCTGAGACTGCGGTTCCTGGTTCCCTTCCCACAAAAGGAGGGGGAGAGTCTGATCCCTAGGGCCCCCTTCCTCCAGTCCCACGGTGCCACCATTCTGCAAGCCCACTTCCTTTCATCTGAATTTTAAGTTCCTTTGCAGCAGAGACTGAGTTTCCATTCATTCCTTCATTCATTTGCTCACTCGTTTATACACCTTCCATGTATTCGTTCATTCAGTTATTTCTCATTTACCATGTTGTTCCCAGGAAACACAAAGAAAATATCTGTTCAGCCTTCTTGACCACTTCTTGGAGGGTTTTTCCCCCTGAGATGTGGGGAGAGGAGGCAAGGATGGGGAGGGTGGGGTAGGAGGGTGCCAGGGCCTGAGGACATGGCACTGGCTCCGTCCCAGGCGATAGGAGGTGGATCCTGTTGCTACATTTGGATTCTCTGTGAAGATGTGGCGGCAGGAAAGCAGCCTCCTCTCCTGGGAGCTGAGTGCGGTGAGCGAGCCAGTCCCCAGGGCAGCCCTGCAGAGCGGCGGAGAGGTGGGCTCCCCCCACCCCTCACCCAGCGGCGAGATGCTCTTGTGCCCGAGGTAGGGCTGGTGACAGCAGAGCCTGCCCTTCTTAGGTGCTCATTAGCTATTTGAGGCACGAGTGAGTGGACAGAATGCCTCTCCTTAAAGAAACTGTTTTAAAAGAAAGGAGAGTTTTCACAGGGCTAAGGCATGATGCTCATTACCGCAGAGGCTACTATTTAAAGCTGGGGTCCGCTGCTCTCATTCATCCATCATCAGGCACTGTCATGGAAAAGGACGCGGGGTGAGCGGGAAACGGTGGCACTGTTCACGTCAGCACGGAAGAGCCTTCGGGGATGGCGACCCCCAGGGCCACAGTGTGCAGGTGTGCTCTGCAGAGGTGGAGGGGCTGCCCCTCCCAGAGAGGGAGACACGGAGCGAGCCCCTGCCGCAGGTGGCCTCTCTGCCACGCCTCCCTCTTGTCCCCGAGACTGGGGACTCACAAAGTGGGAAGAGGAGAGGAGGCCCAGATCAGGACACTGTCTACACAGGCAGGGGCAGCACCCTGGGAACCCAGAGAAAAGGTGCAGAAAATGGACAGGTGGGATGGGGAGCTGGGGACCCCCTCCTCTGCCACCATCTTGCCCAGTCCAAGCCTCGTGGCATCTCTCTCCCCTCTCCCTGTCGCCCTTCCATCTAACCAGAGTTTTCGGCCTCCTGGGGCCCAGGGGCACAGGTTCCCGTGCCAGCCCCTCAGCATAAAGGCATCGTGTTTATATGCAAAGTGGGCTGCTGCCCACTCAGAATCTGCCCACTCAAAGGCAGCACATGTGACTGCACCCCCTGCCCAGAGCCCAAGTGGGACAGACGCCAACCTCTGGCTGGAGACATTTCTAAATATGAGCTTGGCACAAGCAGTCAGGTTCCCAGGACTTCTCTGCCCTGGGAGACCCAGCCAGGACTTTCTAGGCTGCCGGGAGGGAGAGGGCTGGGGACAGGCAGGATCCAGAGGCAGCCAGTGGAGACGGCCATGGTCCCGGGAAACATCACCTAAACCCCGCCCTGGCCCTCTGGCCTCATTAGGGGAAGAAAAAGGATTACCCATCCCGCACCCAGAGAGTCTAATCAACTGCCCACAGCCCTTGGTAGCAGGGACAGGAAAGCCATTGCCTGCTCAAATGTGCACGGATTAAAAATATACAAATGGAATATTTTTTCTTCCCCTCTCCTCAACCCCCTGAAGCCTGGGATGCTTGTTAAAAATAGCCTTGCTGTGGCATGGATCCTACACAACCAGCGGCTGGCAGGAAAATTAAGGAGCCATTGGAGACGGCGCTGCTAAGTGGCTACCCCTGGGGACTGGGATGGGAGGGCCAGGAGGACAGGAGGTGCCTTCGAGCATTTCCAGACACACTTCCATAATTCTGCTTGGACTTTTAACAGCAAGCAGATATTATTTTGATAAGTTCATTTTTTAAAAAAACAACAGAGGTTTATCCTTTGCATCCTCCAGCCTAGATATAAGGCTGAATTTATAATGAATTAGTGACCCAGCAGCACAGTGCTGGCTGGCCTGGCAGTGCCTCGAGTACACCAGGACGCTCAGGCCAGCAGGTGCAAACACAGCCCAGCACTGTGAAAAGAGCACTGGATCCAAAGTCAGTTTTGGATTCGTAACTAGCTGGCTGTGTGACCTCAGATAAGTTGCTTGAGGTCTCTGGGCCTCAATTTCCTTAATTATAAAATGAGGCAGATGGATTAAATGCAAAGCGAGGTACCTTCTAGTCCTAACATCTCATCATTTTAAGGCTTGAGGAAAAATATCTAAGAGTTGCCCTGTGTTTCTCCCACTATAAACAGATGAGGGCAATTTGTCCCCGGGCAGAGGTACGGTTTTTAAATCAGGGAACAGGTAGGCAGGAGAGAAGCTGTTCTGAGAGGCAGAGACCAACTCCACGCCTTGCTGGTTACACGTGCAAGG